CGGATTAAACACACTGTATTCTCTCCAACTGCCTGATGGACACTAATGGAACTGAGAAAACAGAGAAATGCTTCATATATACAAATTTTTGTAAGCAGACATTTTGAAGTAAATAATATGAATTAAATTAATTGGACAGATGGATAATAGTCATGTATGAGGACAATGAAAAGGTTTTAATATTTTATCATTATTTATTCACAAACGATAGGAAAGTGATTTTATATCAATACATATATTTTTCTTTATTAGCATTAATTCAGTTGTTATTATCAGTATTATAATAATTGTCACTATCATCATTATCACAATTATGATCAATATTAATATTAATGTTATTATCATTATTATTACAACTATAATTATCATCATCATATATTGTGCTCATCATTATTATTATTATGAGCTTTTTCATTGCAGTTATTGAAATAACTATTTTTTAATAACTAACTGTAGTAAATAGTAAGAGTAGAAATAATGATAATAGTAATAATAATGATAAATGATGATAATGATAAATAATGATAAATAATGATAATGATAATAGTAATAATAATATTATCATTAGTCTCATAATTATTTCATAATGGATATCATTATCATATTTAAATTTTACATTATATCATAAAATATTATAAATCATGAAATATTATAAATATACACTACTATATCAAAAATGTAAAACTTTAATAATGATAATGATATCAATTATGGTCATTCCTATCACTGTCAATTTTAATATGATCATTAACCCATTGCCGCCGGGGATGGCATGGACGTACATGCCATGCCCACTGTGAGTCGACTTGTTCGATTGTTTTTACACATAGATGGCTACACTTGTACTAAGTATCCAATGAGCCAACTACGAGCACCGCCTGTCTTGCCCGTTCACCCTTTTCATCGATTTGCGAAAATATTTAACGTTATTCTAATTTGCTGTTAAAAATAACACCATCTATATTTATAGCACTAGTAAGAATACGTTGTTTCCCGCCAATTCAAGGAAAGGTGAAATCAGGACTAGCAGAGCCATATATAGATATTTCACAAAAATATAAAATACGAGTACTGCATTTCCCCCATTTTCTGTTCATTTTCCCCGGCGGCAATGGGTTAAATTAAATGCACTATTATTACTTTATTATTTGGTTAACAATGACAGGAAGAGTTATTGGAATGATTATAACATTAACACAAAAACAAATCCAAACGTGATAATGTTAATAATGTTAATAAAAATATATTTCAATAATAATAATGATGATGATGATAATAATAATAGAGATATAGTAAGATAGATAAATCAATAGTTACATTAAGAGGTAGATTGATAAAAATGAACATATATATACATACATGTATATGAACAAATATATGAATAAATGCATTTACATATATATATATATATATATATATATATATATATATATATATATATATATATATATATATATATATATTATGTGTGTATATGTATATATATACACATATATTTATTTATTTGCGTGCTTGTGTACATATATGTATATAACTCTCCATATGCATATATATATGTGTGTGTGTGTGTGTGTGTGTGTGTGTGTGTGTGTGTGTGTGTGTGTGTGTGTGTGTGTGTGTGTGTGTGTGTGTGTGTGTGTGCGTGCGCGTGTGTGCAAGTGTGTCTATACATATATATATATGTCTATGTATAGATGTGCATATATATACATTTATAAATATGATATATATATAAATGTATTTATGAATGTATATGTGTAATATGTGTTCGTGTGTGTATAAGTGTCTGTCTTCTTTCATTTAATCATCAAAACAAAATACTTCACACATCATTTTCACATGAAATGCATGAATTTCCTTCTCGTAATCAAGAACATGAAAAAAGGCCATCTTCTTCATCAGTTGCCACACTGAAGAGCCACTTTCTCAAATGCCATGACCTGTAGTAGCTTTCCCCTTTGACCTTCCTTGCCTAGTAATAGCATACCTGAGCTTACCTGTACAGAAATTCCATGGAGAATTAAATACAGGTCATAATGCATATAAGTATATTATGGACAAAACGAACTATACAGTAAGAATATTATGTACAACATATATTAGAAAAGGAGATTCAATAAAAACTTTGGATATTTCCTCCCCAATAATGAGAAGAAGCAGTGTATTCCTTTTGGATGAACTATCATGCTGTTTGATACTGTTGCAAGTTCCCCAACAGATGTCTTCTCTGAGTTAGAACATGTATTATGCTTGTAGATATAAGACCTGCGATCTTAACATGTTACCTGCGTCTTGGCCCACAGGTGTACCACTAACGCTATTTCCTCAGTGTGAGTTGGGACACCGGTGGCGCAAAGATCAGTTTAAAAAAGTTTATATTTCATTTTCTGTCTTGTCTTTTTATACATTGATTGGCTATGGTTTTTTCTTTCATACATTAGCAAGGGACATGAATGAGTAGAAAAGTAAGCACAATAAAACATACTAGTTTTCTTCCTCATAGCTTCACTGGGACTAGTGTGTTACCACAATAGAGGGGAGTTTGGTGTTGTCATGACGCAGGTAACGTGTTTAACATATAACAAATATCCAACCGAATTGACTGAATAGCTTAGTCCATGATGTTTCGACTTGCACTTACTCACATAAGACTCACGGGATCCTATTCATTAGAGAGATTTCGCAGCTTCCTCGCTTCTTCTTTCTATGAACTCCCAAGTGTTTTACCGTGCTTTTGCTTTAGTGAAATGGCTTTATGTTGAACCTTGTGGAGATGTACTCCTATGTGTTGTACTAAGTGACTTTATGACTTCTCCGTTATATGTACTCTCAAATTGTCTCAATAGCAAATCTCACAACCATTTAGCTTCGTAATAATGTAATATATACTCTCTATGTACCATGTAGCTTCTCATGCCTATGTACTATGTACTCTATGTACTCTATGTACTCTCACATGCTTCACCGGATTCCTTTTTTTCTACGAGAACAAACGCCTTCTTGCAAATCACACACAGCGGTATGGCTACTCCATTGTATGTATTCTTATATGGTTCACTAGACTGGTCTTTTGCGAGAATCCCCTGCTGCAAACATCACATCTGTATGGCTTCTCCTTTGTATGTACCCGTTCGTGTTTCGCGAGATTGTTTTTCTGCGAGAAGGTCTTGTCGCAAATGTCACAGGTGTAGGGCCTCTCTTTCGTATGTACTCTAATATGCTTTACCAGAACGTATTTGGATGCGAAGGCCTTGCTGCAAAACTCACAGCTGAATGGCTTCTCCTTTGTATGGACTCTCCTATGGCTCACTAGAGTGGATTTCTGCGCGAAGGCTTTGTTGCAAATCTCACAGCTGTATAGTTTCTCCTTTGTATGTAGTCTCATGTGGATCACTAGATTGGTCTTCTGTGCAAAAGCCTTGTGGCAGTTCTCACAGCTGTAGGGCCTCTCCTGAGTATGGATTCTCATATGGTTCAGCAGATTAGTCTTGTGCGAAAAGGCCTTATTGCAAGTCTTGCAGTTGTAGGGTTTCTCTTTCGTATGTACTCTCGTGTGGTTCACTAGATTGAATTTCTGCGAGAAGGCCTTGTGGCATGTCTTGCAGGTGTAGGGCTTTTCTCTCGTATGCACTCTCGTGTGGATCACTAGAATAGCCTTCTGCGAAAAGCCCTTGTTGCAGATCTCGCAGGTGTAGGGTTTCTCCTTTGTATGGACTCTGATATGCCTCACTAGACTGCTCTTCAGGAGGAAGGCCTTACTGCAAATCTCACAGGAGTAAGGCCTCTCCTTCGTATGGACTCTCGAATGGCTCACCAGATTGCATTTCTTGGAGAAGGCCTTGCTGCATGTCTCGCAGGTGTAGGGCTTCTCCTTCGTATGGACTCGCATGTGGATGGTGAGGTACCTCTTTCGGGAGAATTTCTTGCCGCAAAACTCGCACACGAGGCGCTTCAGGGGCGCTTCGAGTTCGGGTTCGGTGTTGCCTTTGCGATTTTCCTCGTGCGTCGCCTGGCCCTTCTGCGACGAGCGCTTGTCTCCATAATCCTTATCCCTGTTTCCATAATCTTTCTCATTATCCTTATCCTTGTTCCTATAATCCTTCTCATTATCCTTGTTCCTATAATCTTTCTCATTATCCTTGTTTCCATAATCTTTCTCATTATCCCTGTTTCCATAATCCTTCTCATTATCCTTGTTCCTATAATCTTTTTCATTATCCTTGTTTCCATAATCTTTCTCATTATCCTTGTTCCTATAATCTTTCTCATTATCCTTGTTCCTATAATCTTTCTCATTATCCCTGTTTCCATAATCTTTCTCATTATCCTTGTTTCCATAATCCTTCTCATTATCCTTGTTCCTATAATCTTTCTCATTATCCTTGTTCCTATAATCTTTCTCATTATCCCTGTTTCCATAATCTTTATCCTTGTCTCCATATTCCTTTTCCGACGAGCGCTTGTTCCCACAATCCTCAGCTATTCGTGTGCCTCTTAACCTGTCATCCTGAACCGCGTTACAAGAATCCTTTGCCTCGTGTTTTCGGTCAGGAAGACGATGAAAAGAAACACATTGGCGGTTCCCTTCCACGTCACTGGCTTCGTCTCCTTCCTTATCTGCATAATCGAACTGTTCTTCCTTAATTGATTCATGTTTTAGTTCATCGAGATTATAAGAGAAGAGACGTTTACGCTTCACTTTCTCGTCGCTCGATTCTGTTATTTCTTTATCAGCATAATCAAACTGTTCTTCCTTAATTGATTCATGTTCTAGTTCATCGAGATTATGAGAGAAGAGATGTTTACGTTTCACTTTCTCGTCGCTCAATTCTCTTCTCTCTTTATCAGCATAATCAAACTGCTCCTCCTTAATTTCAACACAAGTATCCTCGGAAATATCTTCAGTGAGCTCTTCTTTGATACAGACTCCTGTGCCATGAATTTCCCCGTCCGTGAGTGAGGCCAAAGGCATTCTGTCGGCGAGGACACTCAGCGTTGCT